TAGCGATATTCAACTCCAGTGTTGCCGCTGAAGTTGCTGACACACGCGAGTTTCGAACCCGCGACCATTCTGATCGGAGTCAAATGTCCTAACCATTGAGCTACGGGCTCGCTGTCTTGTCAGTTCTTGATCGGGAATACACAGTAGTAGATAAGCGTACGGCGATCCGTCTCAGGTCGCACCCGTCCTGGTTAATGCCTTTTGGAGCCCATACACATGTGAGCGTATGCCGCAGGGGGGGCTAATGTTGTAATGTTACTTACTATGTTTCAGCAACTTTTTATTTTATCTAAAGCATTTTTCTCCAGTATTAATTTGAAGCAAGACAAAATAGCAGAATTTATTTGCGCGAATAAATATCGAGAGAACTTTTCAGCTGCTTCCGCTCCGTGCACGAATAAAGAAATATTTAGAGAACACATCAATTTGAATTTACAAAAAATCGATAAAAGCAAGGTTGTGTCAACGTGGCACACGAACACGAGCACGAGCACGAACAAACCGAACCTAACGTTACATGGAAGCATCCTACATACGGAGGGAGAAACCCGACCTATGTAAGCAACTATACCATGTAGTCAATCTTCAATTGCCCTGAAAAGTGCATGTCACACTACCCTACTTTTAGTCCCAAGTTGAACAGTTATCAAAACTATTTACCACTTGCCACGCTGAAACAACCTTGCTTTTATCGATTTTGTGTAAAGTCAAATTGATGTATTATTCATGCACGGAGCGGAAGCAGCCGAAAAGTGCTCTCGAAATTTATTCGCGCGAATAAATTCTGCTATTTTGTCTTGCTTCAAATTTTTATATTATGACATCTCCGACAATGAGAGAAGGACACTACGATGGCCATTTCTGGCTCATTAGCTGTCGCCAGCTTGTGATGCCCAACTCCAGTGCTGCCGCTGAAGTTGCTGCCAGACGCCAGGTTTGAAGTCGCGGCCTCTCTGATTAGAATTAAACGCCCTAACCATTGAGCAACGAACTGGCCGTCTTGTCTGTTCTTGACCGGGAATGTACAGTAGTAGATAAGCGTACAGCGATCCGTTTTAGGACGCACCCGTCCTGATTCATGCCTTTAGGAGCCCACACGCATGTGAACCTAGACCAGAAGGCGGCAACTGTTATAATGCTACTTACTTTGTTTCAGTAGCATTTAATTGTATTTTATAAAGTTACTGACAAAGAGAGAGGGACTAATTAGGGGGAATGGTTTCCATCTGTTGACGTAATCTTTTTGCGCAAAATGAACTGAAACTAAACGTTCTTTGAAGTAAATTTGTGCTGTTATATGTGCACACCTTCTTTTCAATCTGAACATTTAGGAACTCGTGGGGAGAACTGCGAAAAAATAGACGCCTGTTTTCATCCTCTTTGCGTGCCTGGAGCCGTTTGCAGAAACCTGGACTATGGGAAGTACTACGAATGCATATGCAACGGACACAGCGGTACATATCTATGTTATATCAATTTTTAACTTACTACTTTTATGACAGTAGCTTAATAATTATTGTACGAGGTCAGGACTTATGAATCTGACAACGCTTATCATATTCTTCCTGCTCATTGTTCCCTTTGGTGGAAGATTATTTTTCTGAAAATTTGAATTATGTTTGCTTATTCAAATGAGAAACCTATTAAGTGTAGTATAAGACACACACAATAATCAATAGATTACGTCTGTTAAGAATGCTCACAATTACGAAACATTTTGTGCAAGACGCTCGTTATTGCTGTGGAGTTACACTGATGAAAACTACATACGTAATATGCCAGAAATACCTTTCTGACGAAGACTAAGGAGACAGAAATGACCTTTTTGTCTTGTTAGCCGTCATTAGCCAGTCATTAGCCACCCTCGAGTTTTTAATCCACGACCTTGTTAGGTAGAAGTGCAACGCTCCAATCGTGGGGCCACAGGCTCGTTGCC